CGACAGCAGCAGATCACCTGTCACCTGCGGGCCACTCCAGGGGCTGGGCCGACGCCACGCGCGCACACGTCCGTCCATCCGTCCGAACAATCTCACCAACTTCCGGCCGTCACTACTGATCTCCCGGGGAGAGTTTTCAACTTCTTGGGGGGAAACATTAAATATTAAAAAGCCAATACGACACGGAAGAGAAATTAATTTTATAGGTGGTGTCTAAAAAAATAAACTTCAGGGGGGGGGGGTACATGATATTTCATCGATAAATCTTCATATTTACATGAATACCTATAGATACTCATCTGTACAAATATAGTCACTATATCACTTGAAACTGTCGAAGGCTTGATGTAATGAGTTAATGACATTTCTTCATTGTTAAATGTAATGACTTATTGCTTTGATTACATATTGCTCCTTTGCTAATAAATCTAAAACGAAACTTAGAAGAACAGTTGATGCCCTTGTGACTTGGGGCAGAACTACATCTTCCAAACTGAGGTCTGATTTCTTTCTTTAATTTATTTATTTCTTTTTTCGAAAATTCCAAGGTAGAATATAAAGGAGAGTAGTACGACTGTTTGGTTCTCTTTTCTTGGTTTTCCGAGAACTAAGAACAAATGAAAGAAATCGTTTTAATAAAATCACTTGCATAATCGCATTAATCGCACAATGAGCGAAACAATTGTTTTGATTTGTGAATTTAACGCCAAGCATTTTTGTCATGGGCGTGCTCGGACACACCCGCAAGGAACGCGAAAGCTGGTAGACTACGGGATCTAGGAGAACACGTCCACCAAAGGCAAACCAGCACCCCTTCACATCCGAAATTACTTACGAAGTGTGCTACAATAGCACGTACTTTCCCACATTATTTGTAATGGTTACCTAATATTATACACGAACATGCAGTACATTTGTGTATTTTTTTCTGAATTAACAGGTTAAATTAAAGTAATGTGTACGTACTCTTAGCACTTTCATGTCATGTGCATTAGGTTTTTCCTCTAAAGCAGGGATTCCCAACCACTTTCATTCATCGACCCCTTCAAAAACGAAGTGTTTGCTTCATAGCCTCAGTACGTTTTCTCTTTAATATACAGTACAGCTTCCACACTCACGACTCAAAGAATTGCCTTAAAGAACACATGCCTTAAGATAATTTCGTGCCCCAATATTCTGGTAAATATCTCAACTTATCAATAATCCCAGACGCCTGCGCTTTCGGAAAGCTGCGTTTCTAATCTTCTTTGAAATTCAATGGTTAACAATTGTTGAGTGTCTTTTAAGAACCGGCCAATACATTTCCCCGCGGCATATTTGCGACTGCGGAGAGTACTTACTTGCGCGTTAGAGTATCGTTGCGAATGTAATAATTTCTTAATAATGTTACAATTTCTTGCGTTTTCTAGGTATAATAATTTGTGTGTGTGTATGTATGTATATACATGTATGTATGTATATATATATATATATATATATATATATATATATATAATTATTGATTATTGACCCCCCTCACAATTTCCTCGGCCCTCCAAAGGGTCTACGTCGCCCCATTGAGAATCACTGCTCTAAAGGAGACAAATGGAGCAGATTTTTGAGAAACTTTTGTTTTTAAAACTTTATTTCACCAAAATTACGTGAAAGCTACTCATATTTTGAAAAAATGTACCTGCCATTAATTAAAGATTAATTTTGAAAAATATATTTCATTAAGAAAAAAAATGTAAACTTTGGAAAATTTAGATGTTTTAACGAAAATCGAATCTCTACCATTTTTAACAAGTGTACTTCACTCTCTCTCAGAAAGAAATAAGAAAAAATTTGGAACAATTTTTTAAGAAAATTTTCAAATGATATTGGGGCTTCACCTAAAACCAAAATATGTTTCAAATTCAAAAGGCCACGATATCAGCCAGATCGATCAGGAAATACCTATTTTGATGAAAATCCTGCTTATGCAGTTTAGTTGCTAATGTTGTTTACAGGCAGACGGATGGAGTCAAACGTTTTGCCGTAAATCAATTTTTCGGTATCCAGGATCCACAAAACGTAGATTCTGGTAACACGTATTAGTAGAAGTAATTTACTTGAATTAAAATAACGAATTCTTAACTTTTTGGTATCCGATACATACAGCACTGATTTGTCTGCCGAAAAATCGCCGCTTTCTGTCGCAACATCTATTAACTTCCTCTACACCACGTAAGTAGTTTGCAAAAAAGTAAAATGCTTTCAGCCCATACTGCGTACGGCCATACTTAGTTCGGACTTTTCACCCCGAATGCGAAGGATGAGCGTCGTGACAATCGGATTGGAGCCTCAGGGTGAGAGCTGGATAATGGCAAGGACTTTCAATCGGGGACATGGGCGAACGATCGGATGGACATTTCCGATTCGCGGTGACGTACGGAAACTATAGGTTTCAGGGTGAACAGCAAACACGGGCCACGGGAGGACACTTACGGAACGCACTCGTAAGGAAGCCCAGATGCAACGAGTGGAAGCGAAATGCAAGGACAAATTGCAACAAGTTCTGTCAATCACTGTATTAAGATAATCATATGGACATGTAACTGAAAATTACGCTTCATCCCACGAAATGAATTAGGCGCTCGAGACGACGTTTGGACGATAAGACATAGATTGATCTGGTTACAACTAAAGAGAATAATATACTATGCTATACATGGGTCCTCATGTACCCTTCCAAAACTACCCGTAAGCAAAGAGCACTACCGTTGCAGCAAAATGTGTCTGTACTCAAATGGACACACAAATAGATGTGGAAAAATCAAAGCCCTTTGAGGTCTGGCTCACCGGCGTGGACACACGCCCCTCGCTGCTTCGTCATTTAATCGATAATCGCTGGTAACACATGTCCCTTTCAGTCATTTAGTTTGAAGTAAACAGTTTAACAGCTGGCTAATAAAAGTAGTTAAAGGAGTCGTTGAAACTATATTGGATCGTCCTTCTCAAATACTTCAGGAAGAATGCAAGTCGTGAACACAAAGAAACATATTTAATACATGAAACAATTATGATAAATATTTAAATTACATTTATTCACTATTATATTTTTTCTTCCTTATCAAGAAAATAACTAAATGAATCATAACTACAGAAATATGTACATGAAAAAAAAAAATTAATTCATAAAACACACTGCTTCATGTTAGATAAACGGAATACTTCCTCCAAGTGCAAGTCGAGTTTTGGCAACAAGAAAATCAAAAATAAAACAAGAACTGTGATTAATAAAGAAGCTAAGCAATTGAAACAGGTTTTAATTAGTCACTTTTGATCCGGAAAAGATAACATAATTACTGAATATTATTATTCTAAACCTCATAGTGTTCTTGTATTATAGAATTTTAAATTATAATTCTAAAATGATACAGAATACTAATATTTTTTAAGATTAGATGTATTTCATCTATTAGAAAACAGAAAGATAGAATAGAAGTATAAAGAAGTTTGTGGTATATATATGCATTTTACAAGTGACAAATTGTGAGACAAATGAGTAAATGGTATAGATTTAAGGGAGGTTAATTATTTCTTCTTTACATTACACAAATGTTAATCATCAAATGTTGCCCAGAAGTACTAAACAAATTGCTACTTCACGATAATACTGAAACTATCAGCAGACTAAAAGATATACAAACTTGGAACAATCCTTCAATTCCTTCTAATGTGCCAATCTTCAAAGAGGAAAAACGTGTAAGCCAATAATACAAGAATCTTGTAGATATTTTACAATCAAAATAAAAGGAATATTTCAATAAAAATCTAGCTAATGATTGTGTTTCAAAGGAATTATTCAAAATAATCTAATTTTTTGATTCATTCAACTTTCTAGAACATAGTTCATGACAGAAGATAAATTTATATTTAAAGAAAGAAAAATAAAGGGTATCACCTCTATTTCAAGAAAAAACAATACAAAGGACAAGAATACTACAAAAATGTGTACACAACATCTATACTAATATATCAACACAAATCCTACTCACATTATTAAGCCTTCCTAAACATCAAAGGAATATAAAACTTCATACTATTTTCTAGAGAAACTGAATTTGTGGTCAGTTTGTACTGCAAGAAACAATGCACTTGAATGCATGAGATGGCAATGAATACCACAATTACCCAGGACTAGTTTTAAGAATACTCTTTTCATAAAATTCAGAGATTGAATTATAACTTGCAATCATTCCCATTCTTCTACATAACTAATTACTAAGAAATAATTATTTAATTAAACTGCAAATTCTTTACTAAAACATTTGAATTACAGGAAAGAAATGCATTTTTAAAATTTTAGTAATAAAAAAGAAAACTAAGCAGAAGAACAACAGAATCACATAACCTACATAAATTTCGACTTTATCGATTTTTTTCCTGTGGCTTTCGAAGATTATTTGTACCAAGAAGATGAACTATGAATTCCATACCAAATCATCTGATATCTTTAAACATTGATACCAATTTCATATATATAATTAAAAAAAGTGTTCAGTTCTATGTTTTCGTCATATCTCTTCAAAACACAGTTAAATCAATCTTACAGAACTTTCTAATAGTGATGGTAATGATGTTAAATTGTGTTTAAAACTAAATAATCTGAATGACTTTGATAATTACAGAAAGTAGGTATCTATACAATTGAAAACTAAGAAGTTAAGGATTCTAATGAAATAATATGTAGGCATTCATTATTCAATGTTGACATTCACTCATGTGTTAGTGATCATAACTCATGAGCTCTCTGTCATTATAAAATAAATTAAATAAGGACTTGGAAATATTAAGGAGCAGTTCCACAATGCTTGTAATATTAGAACAGCAAAAAGAAAGCAAGGATATTTGACATAACATAAAATTAATAACTTTGAAAATTATATCGTCAACAACATTGTACAATGTGCTATTGGTGACAGACTTCATAAATTGTTTACCATTACTGAACAACAATATATTTACAAACAACTAACCTTATGTCATGAAGAGATGACAGTCCACATAAGCATTATCTTCTTGCTACGAGTTGAACACTTGAAAGGGGATATTTTTACCTACACAAAAAAGGATTAAATGAATTGTTTATTCGAACTCGACACGAGATATTATTCATTTCTCAAAAGTTTACACCGGTAAAAAAAAATCACCAATATTGCTATTACAACGATCGCCACACACACACACATGTATGTAATTTCAATAGTCACACCAGTCGTTATTCATAAACATTACACTCAAACAATAGCATCGCGATAAAATTAAATTAAATCACTATCGAATAGTTTATATACAGTGAAAGTCTCATTACTTCCAACTTACCTGGTAAAAAAAGTAACTTTATTCAAAATCACACTTTTAGGCACTTTTTTATAATAAAACACTGGAAACGATCTCAAGTAAATCTTTCGAATTGTATTCGCAATCAATTTTCGTTGTCGTAAAGCACAGATTCACATTCACCTCCTCCCGATCTATCGGGACCTATCGCACTAGCGCTCCGCCGTGCTCTGCGCTCTCGACAAATGCTTCACCCAGTTTCCTTTTAAAGATAATGACGTCACTCCAGCAAATATGTGGGCTCGACTGCCAACTGCAATTTAACGCGGGAGTTGTCGGCGACAAAATATTCTGGAAGGATTAAAAGGATGGAGAATCGGACAGAGACGGACGGACGACACACCTCAGAACGCTAGGGAACCCAAAGCTGAACTGCTGTGGGTGATTGCAGTAAAATGCTACGGGGAGGCCACGACACCTGCGCAACGCTGCGGAGGATGTGTCAGGGGCGTGGGCCGCCGCTGCATTGTCGTGTGGTAGAATGGTCAATGAATAGTTCATGACGTATTCCGAGTATTGAGTTCACTACACGAAAGCGCGTCTGAGTTTAAGATATCTTATCTCGTGACAGTTCATACACTCAATGGATATTGTTATTTAATGCAGCTGACCCTCACTCAGCGACCTTGACATAAATTATTGTCCACGTGACACTTTATTCAAAGTCGATAAATCATTGTAAGTAATTTTTATTGGAATTATGATGTTAAGCTCCATCTCGTCTTTTCATTTTTAATGTGTTTATTCTATCCAACTTTTCTGTTGTTCATAATTTTTATGACAGTATTCTTTTAAAGATCTGTGGAATTTAATTTTTAAGTCAATTAATACTTACAGATATTTTCTATCACACGAAATGCTGTTGCAGAAACTCATTTGTCTTAGACAATTTACAAAAAGCCAAGGGCCAAAACATCACTAAAATAAAAAAGTAGTATGAGGAAAGTAATTTTTAATGTTCTTGAAATTTACATGTTAATGTATATTGTTTGGTTTTCAATTTCACCTGTATAATAATATTAACGATCTATTAAACTGCCCCTGCAATAAGTAAAGTATTACATTTCATTTTGTTCATAATTCTTTTTGAATGTACACCATAGCTCTCTTTTTTATAATTTCAGACTGCTAAATATAATGTAGTAAAATTGTGTAAAATAAATAGGAATGCTACTGTTTGGTCACATTTCCACTGAAATTTCCTAGAAGATTTGCATAATATTTGTGTAGAAATTGCAAATAAACCGTAGGAAAAAAATCAGATATATTTCTACAATAAGCAAAATTCTGTGTTTTATTAGAGTATATAATAAATGATCAAACACAAATCAAAGATAATTTCCTGTGCAGTTTTTTACTCCCTCTGATTTCAGAGCCCAACTCATTGTATGAAACTGATGAGGAGCCACGTTAAACAAATTACAACTTTGAAGGCATTAAGTGAATTGAAGTAAACGCCTTCAAGTATTCAATGTACATGGATGATTAATACTAACTGCTAATGTAATTTGCTTACTTGCAATGGGTCAATTTGCTTATAACTCTGTGGCAACAATTAAAAAAACAAAATAGAATTGTGTTCTGTTTGAACATCTATGCAAAGTTTGGATATTTCATTTAAATTTTCTCTTTTTTATTTTCATATTAGCACCAAATGAAATAATACACATTACAAAAAATATTTTCCAGACTGTTTTTATATCTGACTCCCACTTGCCACATAGTATATGCACTGAAAATACATCTTGTTTTGATAAACATATTTGATGAGTCAACATCTTATTTTTCTACTGCTGCAATCACTAATCGGACAGTTCCAACTGTTCCATGAACTTCATTTGTTCAAATTCTGCTATTTCGTTTTATATTCTGGTAAAATTTAGCTTGACATACTCAGTGCATATAAATAATTATTATATGTGTACATAATGGAAATCCTGATTTACTAAAAGCTCCTCACAAATACTTGACCAGGGTTGCACTGTAATTTGTGAATTGGTTAAAATTGGGTTGGGATATTCTTAACATGACTAAAAAAATTTCAACCATACTCCTGGTCTAAACCCTACAGGAAAACTTTAATGCAGTATTTAATTGACCAACATGTAATGACATAGTTAAAACTTATTGTGGTTTTCATAGATCAGATTAATTTCACCTTTATGAAAGATTTAGTGAGTTTTATATTCTAATTATTCATAAATTTAAATTTTAACATTTATCACCTTTATTCATTTAACCATTAATTTGTATGTACTGATCTCCCCCATCTCGATTGGATTATTCACAAACTTTCCCCGATTCATTGGGCAAATGCTAAGATGACCCTCGTTTTGTTTCTGGATATACATGCAGTTTTTTGACGATGTGGACATGTTGAGTTTCCTAATAGTAAATAATCACATAAAATCAAAGGATGTAGGTTGCTATTTTGTTAGCAATACAATGAAAACAAAATTGTCCATTGTTTATCATGCAAATAAGTGTTCTATGATAATTACTCGTGAGCGAAGATTTCTAGTTTTCAAACATTGCCTTGCTGATACTTTTATTCATTATTCAACTATAGTAATAAATTTGGGCAGGGATTTGGGTGCTCAAAAAATGCACAGAATATACTTCACATCCTTTTGACAAAAGTATTAAAAAACTGTCCATTCAAGATAACTGTATGATGCTGGTGCTGTAAAGGCTTTCTTGAAAATTTTCTCCAAAATTCATACATTTCTAATCATTACTTTTTTAGGTCATGGCAATACGTAATAGTCCTATTTAATGAACAGACCAAAATATCAGATGGAAAGAGTTTTTCTGGAAAGAAGTAAAATAGTTCACTAGCCCATAGATTATCAAATCAGTAAAAATATTTTTCACTTTTTTAAAATTTTGCAACTTTACCTAGAGAAAAAGCTAAGAGTATGAAGATTCTTTTCATTCAACTCTTCTCCCTTATGATTTACATCTGCAAGAGAAGAAAAGAAGTTTCCATGATAAAAATGTCTTTCAATCAAAAACAACATTTTTGCTTGGAGTGGAATAATCTTTAAAATAATATTTGAAAACTGCACATCAAAAGCCAAATTAAGGGCTAAGATGTTAAAAATTAAACATAGCAATAATTGAATATCTTAGTATATACATAAAATAATACTTAGAGCACTTTTTTTTGAAGTTTAATATAAAAGATAGACCAGCTGGCGTATGTCTGTTATTTTTACTATCAATATTTCTTTATTTTGCTTGATACTGAATATTAACCATTTAGCTAAGAGATCTCGCCATTCATCCCAATCACAAAATGTAGGGATTATAGTGAATATTTTACTTACATTACCAATTGCTCTTCATGTAATTAATTACCTGCATTACAAATACATTTTTACAATTATGAAAGAACTTGAGAAAAAATAATCAATATTATGAAATTTGTTATATTAACAAATTAAGCTTTATTTTCATAAAAATATATTTCTTTTAGAGAAATACAGTTCTTCACAGTATTCTAAGAGCAATGACTGTTACAATAATGTAAATATAAATTATAACTTATGTACTTGGATTTCTCTATAGTTGCCTTCTTTGATTTCGTTACGAAATAAAAAAAAGTAGCACTACAACATAGTCAAAGAAAAAGGATATGGTAATGCATCCCCTTTCATTAATAAATTGTCTTGCTACAGAATTTATATTTCAATGATATTGCATTACACTATTTATAAGGAAAAACAACTGTTCGTCAATTACCATATTTTAACATATTTAATTATTTTTCAACACTATCATTAACTTATTTTGCAGTAAAATGAAAATTGATAAAAATGTTTATTTCTTACATAATATGATTTTACCCAATGAATTACACAATTTTTTTGTTTAGGAATTTTCAGTTGCAAAAATAAAAGAATGCATTGTAAGTTTTATAATTTGTTTAATAAATATAACAGTGAGATAGATCCATTTTTATTTTTATGCAGCTAATTATTTTGACTACTTGAAACATTGTAGCTTCATGTCATGGGCCAATATAGCACAAGAAAACTAATCATTATCTTCATATATTTTCTTCACTTTGATTTTAGTTGCAGCAATATCATCCTCATTAACTCTTAAAGAATTAGGAGGTATTAATGCTCCAGCCACATAACGTCTTTCAGCATTCAGAAAATTAAAAGTTGTACACGCTTGTTCTGTTGTTAATACTTCTACACTGATTTTGTTCTGATTCATATATTTCAAAATGTTTCTATTGAAGGTTGAAAACTCTTGATTATCCCCTACACCGAGAATCAATATATCTGAAATATATAAATATGCAACGTTTTTCAAATGAGTAACATTACTGGGAAATAAAATATTTAATTTATTTAAATTATTCTTACCAAGTTTCGGTTCTAAAGCACAAAATAAGGAAAGAGACTCTTCATTCACTTTAGTTACACTATCTATATTCCAGCTCAACACAGTTTTGGGGAAAATAGCCATTGGTCCTATTACTACCATTCCATTATTCAATCTGAATCCCATCTACACAAAAATCAAACATATTTAAAAGGAAAACAAATACATTACATTTAACCATTAATGATACAATTGTTTTAGGTCTACATACTTGACTGTAAGAGTCTATCATTAAACCTGTACTTGGATCAGTATTAAGAATACTGACAGTAGTTTTACCATCACCTTCATAGCTTTTAAACCTACGAGCGGTCGAACTCTTAACAATCCTGAAAATGTAAGATGATAGATAATTATCTTACGAGGTGCAATCTTTTGAATTGTATACATGACATTACATTAGTCTTTTCTAATATTTCTACCTACCGTCGGCCTAAAAAATATTTAGTATTTTGTGACACCGACAGCACAAGAGATGTTAAGATACTTGCGTTCATATTCATCACCGTCGGGTCAAACAGTAATAATAAATTGAACAAAATTCTTCAAAAACATAACATTTCAACTACTTAAAGGTTAAATCACCCCGCTTGAGTTGAAACCTTGGTCGTGCTTGCCGTTAACTGGCTATGTCCGTATTTCAAGTTGGCAGTACATGTATAACACTGGTTGGCAGCGCGTACTACAATGTTTACAGAACAAATGAAATACCCTACGCACCCATAGCTTACGAAAAGGCGGGAAGAAAACGAATATAATAATATTTCATCAATAAAATTGTTTTAGAATCGTGCTGGTTTGTCATCTCCCTACATGGATCGATCCCTAGATCGAGTAATATAATGCTCGACGAAAATATACGTTTTGAAGGTCATTGACACCGAATTCAATAGTGAAAGTAAAACGACGGAAACATCTCCCCTTAAAATGAATATTCTCCTATCGACCTGGCTTTACTTGAGGACCTGCGACTTTCAAATGGATCTTTAAGTTTTGACGGATTCTTTGTATGAATCTCAAACTACATTTTCAACATAGTCTCGAAAGCCCGATCAATTTTTACTTTCTCATGTAACCGTGGCATAGAGGGAGGAGCAAACCCGAAAATTGTGAAATATCTAAATAAATTTTCAATTTTATTGAATTAATTTAACTTAATTCAATGTACTTAAATTCGAGGAACATAATTGATGAAATTAGATACTATCTAAATTAATATTATTTTTAATATAATTTCAATTTTAAATTAACTTTTGCACCCCGCCAACCTGGCTGGGAACCTGATGGGAAGCCAGGCTCTGTCACGAGCCAGGACGAAGAGGGAAGTGATACCTCTTTAAAAAAGCCTAGGCCCAGCTGGTCCGGTTGGTAGCGCCTTGTAAGGGTCCCTTGCCAGGGTTACGGTGAAGACTTTAAGGGCAGCGAAGGCGGAAGAGGATACCTCTCCACCGGTTCCACTGACAGAAGAAGCAGTGCTACAGAGAGCATTTCTGTGAGGAAGACAGATCCCTAAGTCCGGAAATCTGTCTAAGGGAATGTCGCTCTAAAATCAAACGAGGCCTGTTTAGAGGCCGTAAGTTCGCAGCCCCAACACTAAACTCACTTAGCGATTGGACCAGTCCATCCCGAAGACATAAAAATCAACTTTCAGCCTCTCAGACATAGATAGCTGGATCTATTAGTTGACGGAAAATGCAAAAAAAAAAACGATTTGTATTAGTAGATCAATTAAATGTAGCTACCTGGAATGTTCGAGGCTTATCAACAAAAGAAACTGAATTACATCTTAAGGACAAGTATATCAATATTGCTGTAATAAGTGAAACAAAAAGAAAATTAAATGGTACAAAAGATATTGGGGATCATATACTGGCTACACAGTGGTGTAGAAGATGATAAACGAGAAAGTGCGGGTGTTAGTATTATTGTAGATTCTAAATGGAGAACAAAAATTGAGTATACTTTTGTCAGTGAAAGAATCATATCAGTGAGATTTAAAGATCAAATATCTCATCTAACGGTAATTGACATATATGCACCTGAAGAAGGACGAAAATAGGAAAATGATATTTTCTATGAAGATCTTCAACAAACCCTTGACAAAATATGCAAAACAGATCAAGATATACTCGACAGTGATTTTAATGCGAGAGTGGGTAATTATCCTACCAAATGTTGTAGGCACATTTGGAGAAACATGTGTGAATGAAAATGGGAAAAGATTAAGAGACTTCGCAACAACAGACGAACTCAAAATTACGAACATAATAATAAATTAATAAATATACTTGGAGCGCTAGAGGATTTGGGTCCCTCATAGACTATGTCATTGTAAACCAAAAACTACCACCAAGAATGAGAGATGCCCATGTATTTAGAGGGGCTGATATTTACTCAGATCACTATTTGTAGTGACAAAGGCAGACACTTGCAAAATGGTAGAATAGAAATTTCACAAACGAGCTCCAAATTAGAAAGTGTTCAAGACATATCTGTTAGAAGAAAGCAGTATAAGAAATATATATGAAAAGAGGCTAACAGAAGCACTTAAAAAAACGAGTGCGATGACATAGAGGATGCATGGAAGATCATAAAAGATAGTATACTAAAAGTAGCCTATGAAATCTTAGGGAAGAAAAGCAAAAACATTAGACGTAGAGGTCTTAAAATATGGGATTATGAAATTAAAACAGCAATTGAAGAAAAAGACTAGCGTACACGAGATACAGAATGGTACTGAAGAAACACAAGCTCATTACCACCAAAAACGTAATGTGGCTAAGAAAAGTACCAGAAAAGCTCATGAAGACTCCTGGAATCGTTTTATCAGTAGAATAGAGAATGGCATTAATGAAAGGCAAATGTTAGCGTTTAAAGCTCTAAGGCACTTAGATGCCAATGAGAAAGATATAGAAAAAATATCTGTTATATCGGAGAAAGATTGGAAGGAGTTCTATCAGAAATTATGGACAACAGATGTAGACAATGACTTAGATCAAAATCTAAATAACCATGACATTTATGAAGTAGATGAAATATCCAAACATGAGCTAAATAATTCATAAAAAATAAATAAATAAAAAACAGAAAAGCCGCAGGACCTGACAATATAAGTACAGAACTTTTCAAACATGGAGGAAGTTACCTCATGGAAAGTATGCTGATATTCGTTAATAAATGTTGGAGAAAAAGGAAAATCCCTGAAGAGTGGAAATTTAGTTATATCAGTGTTTAAAAAAGGAGCAAGGTGTTCTTGTGACAGCTACAGAGGAATTAGCCTTTTAAATACAGGCTATAAAATATATATATAAAAATTCTAAATGAAAGATTAAAACGTATCTCAGAAGCTCTATTATTAGAAGAACAATGTGGATTCAGAAAAGGACGCTCTTGCACTGACGATGTTTTAAATATTAAACAAAATATCGAGAAAAGAATGGAATTTAATTTAGAGACGCACTTAACCTTGGTTGACTATGTCAAAGCTTTCGATAAAGTGCTAAGAAACAAATTATGGAACATTATGTATAGAAGAGGTTATCCCATACACTTGATACAGACAATCCGACAAGTAAATGAAAACAATAAAGCAATCATTGACATTGGAGGAAAATATTCCTAGGAAATTTTTATAAATAAAGGCGTAAGACAAGGTGCAACCTATCACCGACATTATTTAATATTTATCTCGATGATATAATACGCGATTGGCAATCTAATGTTCCACAAGGCATCCTACTCTGAAATAATATCTCAATTAACACCTTGCTGTTCGCAGATGATAAGATAATTCTACAAGAGACAGAAGAAAATTTGCAGAAATCGGTACATTCCCTCCAAAGAATCGGATATGAATATGACATGAAAATATCCGTTCGAGAAACTAAAACAATGCCTTTCCATTGGATATACCCTGTCAGAACTAAGATCGCCGTAGATGGACACATTGTGGAACAAGTAAAAACATTTATTACTTAGGCTGTAATATTTCTTATGAGTGGGATGAAGATATAGAAAATAAATTTCAAAGAATTTATGGATGTATGAACTATATCTCAAAAATAAAACAAGAAAGGAAACTCAAATAAAATTCTACAAAATACTGGCAGTATCCGCACTTCTCTATGGATCAGAATCATGGGTTACTCGTAAGAAAGATATGTCAAGAGCACAGGCATCTGAGATGAGCTTCCTGAGGTCTGTTAAAGGCTGCTCAATAGAATAAAAAAACTGACGTACGAAGTGAACGCAATATCTTCTCACTAATCACTCGTTTAGAAGAAAATAAAATGAAATGTTAAGAACTCTTAGAATGAAAGACCTTGCGGATGATTCCCAAGAGAAGCAAGGGATTATAGGCCCCGAGGAAGAAGAGATCCAGGTCGCCCAAGAAGAAGATAGATATCGGAATAGGATAGATAGAAGAAAAGAAGATCGGATAAGAAGATAGGTATCGGATAGATAGGCTGGAACAGGCATCGCCCTGAAAGCAGCAGCAGAGGAATTAACTTTTGACAGTTTACTCATAAATTATGTACACCAACACCGAAATCCTGACACTGCATTTCGTAGATATCGGAATTCTAAATCAGTTTTGTAAAATGCACCTTATTATACCGATGAATATTTCCGCTTTTGAGTTTATTCTAGAGATAATATTTTGAAAGAACAATATTTTAATCTCAAATGGCAAATAAAGGGGGGTACACGAGCACATATTCTCCGTACACGAGTCTACAAATACAAAAGAGTTGATAGTAATTTGAACTAAGAAAAGGTACTATTTCAACATCACTTTTTTCTAGTACGTGGAAAAATAAATATATTGTTTGAATGTTCCTTTAATTTAACGATTTCTTTTACTTTCTCGCTACTGCGTATGCAGTATAGAGAAAGCATTGTAATGATGGGAGAAAACCCGGCGAATTTTCGACAGAAAATGTCTTATTGCCGGACCCCGATAACGAAAAAGTGGATAAATCTTACCCATATATGTGTATGTATGACTATATGGAGTTTGATTTCTGGCGGAATGCAACGGATCGACTTTCCGGCACCTCAGAAATGTTATTAATATTTAACAATTTCTATTTATATTATTATTAATTTTGGGGAGCGTTCCGCGAACTTAATATATATATATATATATATATATATATATATTCTATATATTTATATATATAATATATATAGTAACGACACACCAACTCTGAGAACGAAGACGTGTTGATTTCGCGAAGCTCAAAGGCTGGCAAATTGAATCGTTAGTGGGATATGGGATTCGTGGCACAGCAGAAGGGTGCCGACCGCTGCGACGTATATTTTTGTTCAAGTGTGGGCCGATTTACGACCGCGAAAAGGAGGAAGGAACTCGGTGCGATGCAGGGCCATCTGCCCTCACAAGAAACAAAGGAGGAGGTTCGGCACACCAGCCCTCGGAAAGGTCACCCAAGGACAGCCGCCTCGTTTGTTTTGTCAACCACCGATCCCAGTGCGTCGGGTGTCGTACCGGTCAAAACGTTCTTTCGCCCAAAAAGAAAGATTTCAAAAGCCACCGCGATGCAGCCACTGACCAATTACGAATGGGGGGTAGCGCCTAACTCCGCTCATCTTAGCAAAATTGAGATGCAAAGGCCGCCGCACGCCCCACAAGTAACTGAAAACAACCCAGAGGGGAGTGCTTCTCCCAATAGATACCCTAGAAACGCCGACGTGTTCGGAGTTCTGGGCGTAAAAAAATTAACAATTCTCGCCGGAGCTCCAAAGGCGCTCAATAACGGCGCTGGGTCCGAAGGCGCCGCGCATCCTACGCGACACCGGCCGAGAGGCGAACAGCGGCGCGCATCGGTCCCACCTACGGAAAGGCCCGAAGCGCGCCGCCTTCTTCCACGAGCTGCCTCGAGCGAGCGAGCGGAGGCAGCCGAGCGCGAGGGGGAAGACTCGCCATCGGCCGAGGGGCGGGCGGGGAACGCGGCGCCGCGCCCCCTCCCCCAACGGGCCCGAGCGCCATAGACACTTTGAGACAAGTCAGTGCCATGGTGAACAGTGCTTTAAGGCAGTGCTTAAGTGCAGTGAAGTGCGAATGAATGGTTATGTATATAATGAAACAAGTATGAATGATTAGTGAATGTAGAGAGAGAGAAAAAAAATCTCACCCAATTTTTTTAGTAATTAATAAAAACGCTTCTTTGTGTAAGTTTGGAATGCCAAAGTGCAAATAATTCAACTTTAGTTCTGGAATATTACAGTTAACTGTAACATAAAGGCCCTTCTCTAGCTGCTGAAGCCGCAAAACAGCAGCCCAATCTATAAATTAAAAGAAATAAATTCCCCTTCTCGACAGGGTTACTGTGGAGGGACAAAGAGTGCTTCTGTGCCACACTCCGCAAGAAAGAAAGGACACGCCCTTCAAGCACGCGGGGACCGAGTGTTGCCGCCGAAACTCCAACGGAAAATGGTCAGTGTAAACTTTTTAGCACGCCATTGGTAGGAAAGCACCCGAAGTCGACGCTGAGCAATCAGAAACTGGGATGTGCACTGGAGGGAGAGTTCCGAGATTGCGTTATTCGAGGGGCAGGGACGCCAAGGGAGACTGGGGACTGAGATGAGATGGATCGGAAATAATGTAAATTCAATGTCTCCAAACCAAAGTGCTTCGAGATCGGACATTTACGTCAGATGACAATTTCACTAGAAGTTCGGAAATGATCACGGCGAGTGTGCCTCGAGGAAGGCATTATTTCTTGCGCTTATGAGAGCCTATAAATTATCACAATGTTCGTGAGTGGCTTAGCCACCCTTACGTGATAGCGACGGTAGTCTTCGCTCGCCGCATTGCATTCGCCGGGCAATGTGTCCGGCACACCGTCGCCGTCGAGGACGGGTCGCCGCCACGGCGCGACAAGAGGGTGTCAGGGGACCCGGGCGTCAGCGGGAGGCTCCGCCTGCTGGAAGCGCCGGGGAGCCGACGCGCGCAGCCCGCCGGCCGGCGAGAATCAGCTGACAGCCGCCCTCGCTCGCCACGACTACCTGCTGCTGCCATCCAGCGGTTACAGGGCGGCGCCGCTATTCAACAAAGCAATTAGGACATAACCGTGTTATTAGTTGGATGTAAACGCCCGCCATTATCCCCGCTAAGAACGAGACTGTCAATGAATGTGTAGTTTCAACGAGGCGGCAAGTCAGTTTGTGTGGCAGGAATGAACCCAGCCTGTTTAGACTCAATGTAAATTCTATGTATCCAATTATTCATGTGCATGCTCATATTCATTCTCATAATAATCTTCATTGTTAATTAAATGTGTTATAAGAGCATATCTGTTTTATTGGCCTTGCAATCTCGCATCCAGTTCATCCCGGCAGGTTACAATATATTTTAACTACTACCCAGCAGTAGAAAACATTCAAACAATTTGTGTCTTGAGATAAACTTTGATATTTTTTTCGAACCTGTTCCAGAGTTCTAAAACAGTTAACATTTGTTGCGTTTGAATTTGGAGCTGGAAAGTTATCATACATTTTTTTCTGATAATATAAATTATTTTCTTATTTTTTCACTCAGATAAGTGATGAAAAAAAACATCAGTTAATTTTTAACGGTTTTAACGATAAATAATGCATATGAATGTAAATTGATCAATTAGAAATTCCTCTTGCGTATATATATGCTCATAATTATACAAATACAGCGGGTAGACTTGACAGCATCAGAACGTGGCCTGCCAAACACCAATGCATGGTTGGTTGCCTACTACTCAGGGGCAAATTATTACGAATACCCTCCGAAAGCTTCAGGTATACATGATGAGATCACATCGCAGGCAGTTGTAGATATAAACTTAATGAAGGGCGGCGTTTGTAAAATAAAATATTTAAAAATTCTGAAAGAAATTTAAATACAATTACAATTGTTAAAAATAAAAATCTTGGATATTCCAAATAATTCATATTAATGTGGAAGGAAAAGCATCCATTTATTTATTAAATTGTGAGAAATATTACAGTTTTTTTTCAAATGAAATCTAACATTTCCCATACCATTTTTGTACAGTAAAAAATATAAATGGAAGGTGCATCTTTCCAGCAATCTTCATTTATCTTTCAATTCTTCACAGCTGTTACATTATCACTGTTACCAAACTGAATTTCTCTATTGTTTATGCCTATCTTCATTATTTTTGGAAAAGATTAATCACAAGAAACAATATTGAATAAAGCACTCCAACAAGCTTAAGAAAACTTGTGTTTCTTATAATCCCTTGATTTCCCCTTGATGCAGCAACATTTTTTTTTAAAATTGACAAAACTAAATTAAAAAAAAATATTTTCCCTGGTTCTATTAAAATAAATATCTGGAATACAATAACTTACATATTCAGAGAAAATAAAATTAAAAGACCTTCCAATACAAATGGAGGAAATACCTACGAATCCAAATGAGCAACTTCATATTAGTTGTACATTTTTAAACTAAGTACAGGTAAGGATGTGGTATTACAGACATTTATTATTAATATTTCAGTCAAGGATTTATTAACTTTCACAATATACCCCTTCTCTTTTTTAAAAACAACTATAACCTGGTCCATAAATAAGATGGTGATTATTGTGTTATTAAAATAATATTAAGACACTTAGTAATTGTGGTTTACAAATACATACAAAATGATACCCTTAAAATAAAAAAACAACAACAAAACAATACATTAATTTTTCAGTATATGTTGTAAGTGAAGAGACTTTCCTCAAAACCATAGTCTCATGAGGGAGTTGGTCCCACACTGAGTCTGCAGTCACATCAGTACTTATAGAACATACATTTGCAAGATCTTTTGAACTGCATTTATTTCTAAAGAAAACTCATCTAAAGGCTGAAGATTTTTTGACTCTGATTCAATTGATATGCTTTCTATGAGCAGATATAACATTCATCATCATTACAACAAAGGCACCATTGATTCATGGGTTTCTACACATTACTCAGTATGGAAAGTGTAATGAACAGGTACTCTTGTGATTAGTGTCACATTCATCCATTTACTGTACTGACATAAAAGGGAAGGCACTAATGTATGTAGCATGTAGCACATGAATTCATGTATTTTATACCTTCTAGGGCACTTGAATACTAGTTCATTGAAACTGTATTAACACATATAATAATTGAGATAATTTTAATTTATTAAAAAATTATCACATAAAAGTATATTTGCCGATTTTTAAATGTGAGAGCAGAGTTATAGCATGAACTTTTCAGTGCCCCATTTTTAATGGCAATTCTGCCATAATATCAACTAAGTAACGACAACAATAACAACAACAACAAGAATTATCTATAACAATTTCTTATTTATATATGAATAAGCCTATGAACAAATATTGATCTGTTGACCTGATATAATGACCAATATAAATGTAAATTGTACAAAATGTAATAAAGTGGTCAGCAGAGACTATTACAAAGTGAAATAAGTATAAAATTAAACATATGCGGACGGATATATTAGCATAATAGATTTGTGGGAGAATCAGAATATGATATTGCTATCATGCAGATACAGATATGATATTACATTATCATTTCTGTTTTATTATGGATATTAAATTTTTTTCAAAAATATTTGTATTCTGAGTGACTTTACACTTTCAGACAGAAAGCTTAAGAAGAGAGAGTTTCATTCACAGAACAGAATATCAAGCATTTTCTGTTTCTTTGTAACAAAGATATCCTATTTAAATTGAATGTAGTAATTACATACACTGACTATTCTATGAAGCTGTTGAATTCAATACATAGGTTTTTGATCACTGAATAAGGATATCTGAGCTAATATGCAATAGACACTGATCTATAGTATCTTACTCTGATACATAAACAAAGAGAACTGATCTGGGTAAGTAGATACTATTCCTCATGACCATTCAGTGTTACTTCTGGTGCCATCTCCACTGCTTCCACAGGTTCTGGGAGCTCTTCAATTGGAGATGGAAGCACTTCAAGGGGTTCCAAGGAATCCAAAAAGGTGTCAATCTTCTCCAGCAAATTTGTAGCAACTGCCGCAAATTCTTCCCATTGCTGGTAAGCTGGAGAAGCTGCTAGCACTTCATTCACTTCTGTTCCCTCTTTGACTCCAAAGAGACGTTCTTCATCTGAAAAAAAAGAAAATTCAGTTTGCAGTTCTACTCCTAACAATCAAAACAATGAAATCACCAATACAATACATGACTTTTATATTTGTGTTCTCTGTCTTTTGCAGTCTGACTGCAGATGAACTCTGTCCTGACTGAGATTTGTTCCCCAGGGGCAATCACCGTGAAAACTACCAGTCCCCCCCCATCAATGTTATTTGCTAACCCACATAGCATCATGCATTGTCCTGTATTAGAGGAAAGGAATCACACTTGAACTAGATGTGCCATTGCAGTCCAAAAGCCATTACATTGCGTTGCGCACATGTCTTATCCCCGCTCTCACAATATTTTGGGGAAGGGGAAGGAATGAAGGATAGATTTTGAGATTCAAGGGTGATGCAAGTGTGCTATGAATTCACACTAAATCACAACACACAATGTCTTAGATGAGATTCGAAACCACAACTTGAATGTATCATGTACTTGGGCTCCAATCCCTAAGACCCAATTCCACCCAGGTCACTCAGGAATGGAAGGAAGAGGATTTAAATGTGATACATAGTGGTTGGGAGAATACCACCATGTGACAATACACAAGAAAACATCCTGCCTGAAGCATTGAAGCATTTGAATCAGCAACCTTTCAAACCAAGACTGTTAAGGTGCTTTCACCTCAGTGATCGTATTTACCCAGGTTAGCAGTAGAATAATTATTCAACAAAACAAAGGAAATATCTTCTATCATTAATTCAGAGCAGTAGAAGAGCAAGTTTAAAATAAAGAACAAAAGGAAGTATCTCAAGCTTTCAGAAATACAACAAGGCATTCAAAGTTTAAAATCATGGTATTGGTAATGAAACGAAAAACAGTTACGGGTAAAAAGGCGTACATAAGTAGAGAACACAAATAATTGAAGAAAAAAGTCATTTCACAAATATTAATCAAGAATAAGATTGATGCCAATGGATTAAAGAAAACATAGCAGCAGATTATGAGAAATAATCCTGTGAGGCGCTGAAGATGGCCATAAAGGTCTCTACGTTCTGTACAATTCAAATCCTAGACATACCCTGACTTACTTATTTATTACTATTCCTTATCTGCAATAATAAATGGGTTTCTTCAATACATACCCAAGTAATCAGCCAAAACACCAAGGAGATCATTGGTTTCTTCAATACCAAAAGCAGCATGCAGATTAGCTGATTCAATGCAATAATTCCACAATGCTTGACAAATTAAGGTAGCCAACTGCCAATCTCCTTCACAGTATGTTTTTAATATGTGAAGTAGCCTTCAAAAAATGTGTAAATCTTTTAATAATAACTTTCAAAAAGAAAAAAAATATGTACATTGCACTGAAAAAACACACGATTTTACCTTTCTATACCTCTGTCTTCTTTTAGTGCTACACGTTTATCCCAGTCAGCCATCATATTTACAAGAATACCTGCAGATGCACTCAACAAATCTCTGTCTTCAGAATCTAAAATCTTCATTAACTTGGAGAAATCTATTTCCAAGAAGATAACAAATTATTTTTTAAAGTTTACAAGCCAAAACAAAATTTTGACTCAATAACAACACTCACCTCCATTTCTTAACAAGAAATTACGTGTCTCTTGTGAACGAGTCAGATTTCCAAACACTCTCATTACTTCAACCAAGCACTCTTTATTTTCTGAATCAAGCACAGGGGACATCACTGTCAACAAAAACAAAATATTTGACTACATTCCTGTGGGTTCTTCTTCTCATAAATCAGTTGAACATCAATTAAATATTTTTTTAAATAAATAATTCTCATGAGTCATGGGCAAGACTTTTTGGTTTGGTTGCATAAAAAAATTGGAAGTTTCGTGCAGAACCAGTTATTGCCTCCATCAAAAAAATAGTTGCTACTATAATAACATGTACGTACATTCCCTTATTATAAGGTACAGCTGAAAAGTTCAGTGAGAAAAAGGGTATCTCATAAGCAACTGAGTGGTATCAGCAGCCACGCGCATAAGCAGGGCATGGACCCTGGACACACTCAAAGTAACATAGAGCACACGAACTCGATGCAGTTTAACATGCTACTAGCCCAATCAAATTATACAAATGTAATGAAAAAAATGCTGGGGGTTTTGAACTTGGTTTGTTGGTACAAAACGCATAAAAGCCAACTTTAAACAGGCTCTCCACCTCACGCTTAATCCCTACACTTCAGGATTTTTAGTATAATGTGTAGTAGGTACTAACAAACAATCATGCCAAGTTTCAAAACTGTTTTTTCCCCGTTCCATAACCAGTTATTGGTCTAATTTTGATGGGGTATACAGGTAGTCGAAAGGCTTGTGTGCGTATTCTCAGTGGAAAAACGGATAAACATTAAGTTTTGTTACAATCAGGTATAGTAAAGCATGTAATGTTGGTGCATTTCAGATGTACAGAACAGACACATTCAGCAAAAATGTGTTTATGATGTTGAACGTTTTCTGGGGAAAGAGAGAAAGGACACCGTGGATGATGAACTACTTTCGGGTGCCCCTCAACAAGTGTGACGACCGACAACATCGAGTAGATGTGCGCAACAGATGTGGCAAAATCGCCACCAGTCCCAATGATGGATATTGCAAGAAGTGGGAATTAAGCAAAGAGTGTTAGCATAATCATTCATCAAAAGTTAGGTAAGCTCAAGATCAGTTCCTGGTTTGTGCCACACTCTTTGACAGACCACAATCCAATCTTTCTTTAAACCATCGTCGCAGGTGTTAAGAGCTGGTGCTATGACGATCCAAAGTCGAATCGATGGTATTGTGACAGAACATTACAGAAATCCAGAAACTCTTGCTTGTGTATTCAGACAACGCCGCCACGATCAGGCGTACAGCAGTGTCAGGTGGAGTCTGCTGCATGACAACACGCGCCCGCCTACCGCGAACCGAACCGTTCTTGACCCGACGCTCTGCAACTTTTATCGCACATCCACCTAACTCGTCTAATGCGCCACCTGCCGACTCTTTGTTTCTTTCCCTGAAAGGGTCATGTTTTGCGGATGTATCAGTCATCCCACGACGAGTGACATTATCACCAACGGGACCTTCATTCCAGAAGCTTTATCGCCGTTTTTAAAAATGTATTGTGACTCCAAGTATTGTTACTTGGAGGAGTAAAAAGGTTTTTTGATTCCGTTTTGTTTAATTTGTGTTTTGCATGCATTCACCGAATTTTCAGA